GGAGCTCTGCGGGGCCTGCTCCAGGAGCCGGTGCAGGCGGTAGGCGTCCCCTCCTAAGCAGGACCAAGCAGAAAGGAACGGGGCCAGGCAAAGCAACGGATAATCCAATGCCAAGTGCCTAGGAGCCCAGCGGGACTGCAGCCCGGGTCTGAGGGGCACGGGAGGGGGGCTGTTTTGCTGGGAGAAGCGGTCCGGTCCCCAGAGGCCTCCCCTGGGCAGAGACAGGAGCATCCCAGCCTCGGGCTCCCGGAGGGGAGGTGGGGGGGCACCTCAGGGAGCACTTGAGGAATCTGGGCAGGCGCAAACCAGGAGCCTGGCCCTTGCCCCTTCCTCCTTATTAATGAAACAGCGTTAAGCACTTCCCTTTACTGTTTTCACAAGGGCAGCTGCCCTCCCTCACTCCCACTGTGTCCTCAGCTGTGAAGCCAGCCAGGCCTCCTAGGGGGCTCCAAGCCCTGCCACCCCCTCTCTGCCCGCTCTGGCCTGCATCAGAAAAACAACCACGCCTCTGCAGGAAGTTAGCACACGTTTATTTTCCAGATGCTTTCACAGCACCGTCTTACCGCATCCCTCTCAAATCCTGGGCAGACAGCCATTACACCCATGTCCAGAGGAGGGACTGGAGCTTGGAGATGGGAGGCCCCCGCCCAGGTTGAAGAGAAGGGTGGCAGAGGTTGCCCTTTTCAGACCCCTCTGCCTCTGGGCATCCATGGCTATTTAACAAAACACGTGTGTGGCCAGCACTGAGTTTGTCTGGATACACACGTCTGCACGTCCACATGTGTGCAGCCCTATTCACACCAGCCTCTCCACAGCCAGGCGTGCCACCCTCCGTGCATGCGCAGGACCCACAGATCTTCAAAGATCTGGGCAGCGCCTTCACGCAGCCTTCCCGCTTCCTCCCCGCAGGGCTTCCCTGGCCTCGGACAGGCTACGGGGCGGTTCCCCTCCTCCATCTCGTTTCTCTTAAGGACTCTCGGATAAAGGACAGGCCTTTTAGTTCCTAACCATCTTGGTTCCTAACCACCTCCACCAGCAGCTATCAGCCCAGGTGAGAACATTCCCCACGTGTGGTGCTAGGCTCACAGGCCCAGCTGGACCAGAGATTTCCTGGGCAGCAGATGTCCCCAAGGGGGTCCGGGTGTACAGGCCCCGCCCAGATTGGTCAGGGAGCCCTTCACACCTGGCATAGGAGGGGTAAGGCTTCTTTCTGTGTCTGCTGAGCAGAATGCGGGCGGCTGACCTGGGCTTGAGGTCTGGCTCCGCCACTGGGCAGCGACATGGGGAGGCTGACTGTGACATGGGCAAGCAAGGCCTTCACTTCTCTCAGCCTCATCTTCTTCACTGGAAGAATGGGGGACCGCTCAAGTAGACTGTGGTTCTAGAACTCTCTGATGAGAGCGTCTAAGCAAAGCACCATCTGTGGGTGACCTTGGGTTCCTTCTTAGTTCCCAGGACACTGGCCCTCTCCCTCCAATCCTGGTCCCAAGGGAGCAATCAGCTCAAACTGTAGCAACATGATATCCGTTTACCTTTGATGTGCCAGATGCTAAGCACGGTCTCATTTCACTCATTCATTCAACAAACCTGCAATGGAGGGGGCATTGTTGTGCCCCCTTTTCAGATACGGAACCGAGGCTGATATACTTGGTGGACAAGGTCAGAGCCTAGTCGTATCTTACCCAACAGCTCCCCCAGGGGCCTCCTCCCCTCAGGGGTGGCTGAGAGGGCCAGTGGCCCAGGTGGTGCAAGTCAGTAGCTCCATAACAGGGTGAACACACAGTCTCAACTCTGGCGAGGACATACAAGTGCAGGCACAGTGCCTGGCAAGAGCACACATTCAAGGCATGTTGTACAGCATTTGGCAGTTTATCCAAGTATTGTCAAACTAGCATCCTGTTTGTGCCTCTACACAAACCCGTCGAGGCAGGCAGGGTAAGTAGGGTTATTCCCACCTTACAGGTAAGAAACTCGGGCCCAGACACGAAGAGGCGGGAAGGACACCGGCCCTAGGCCTGCTCGGTCCAGCGCCGCCTGCAGAACAGCCCGCCCATGCCCAGCCCAGACATAACATGACACATGTGGGATGCCCCACTCACAACAGCTTTATTGGGAAGACAGCAAGCCTGGGGCCAGGTCTGGGGGTGGGAGGGGAGGACACTGAGAATGCTGCCCCTTTCGAGCGAACTTCGGAGGCAGCCTTGGAGGCTGCAGGACCCAAGGAGCGGACAGGATGGATGGGCAGGCAGGCGTGGGGCGTTGAGGTCTCAGGTGGCCTAAACAGCCGGAGCTGGGGTGGTCCCCGGGGCGGCCCCAGGGGCCAGGGGCCAGAATTTGGAGAGCGGGCTCGTGAGGGAGCTCCAGTAGTCCTTCAGGGAGTTGAAGCCCTCCGACATCCAATCCCTGCGTGCAGACAGGAGGGAGAGCATGGGCGTGAGGACAGCTCACCGGCCGCAGCGGCCACCATGGGCCCCACGTCTCCCCACTGCCTCTCCCCCCTCAACCTTGCCCAGCGACCCCCCTGAGGCCGCAGGCAGAGTCCCTGACAGCTCCACCCCAGCAGAAGGTGGTGATGGGACCCTCGCTCAAGTCCCTTGCTTGCCTCTCCAGGCTGGGCAAGCTGGCGGGGAGTGAGGGCGCGAGAGTGCCGGTGGGGCCTGTCTTTCTATTCTAGGCAAATGCTGCCCCCAGAGTGAGACAGCCTGGTGGCTCAGAGTGGGGAGCAAGGAAAGGCCCCTCATTTGGAAAGTCATCGGAGGGTATCAGCTATGTGATCTGGGCAGGCCACAGCCTCTCTGAGCCTCGATTTTCTCATCTGTGAAATGGAGAGAATCCCCACTGCACAGGCAGTTCTAAGGACTGAGAATGTCTGTGGGGCTTCTGGCAGGGACACCCCAGTGCTGGGCAGCGCAGGCGGAGGGGAGGGACAGACTTCTGCTCCTGTGGGGCCCCAGGCTCAGAGCAAGACTGAAACACACACACACCCTGGGCTGAAATGGGGTGTGTGTGGGGGGAGGGCATCGCAGTCAAACTGCCTGCCAGGCTGTCAGAAAAGGACAGGGAACTGAGGCCTTTCTTAAAGCCACGCAGGACAGCCGAGGGAGAAAGGAGGCGGCAGAGGGAGAGGGGCCAGGAGGAGAGAGCCTGTCCTCTCTCCTCACGGCCACAGGCCTGTTGCATAGACCAGGCAGGAGGCTGAGAGCGCAGGTCCCGGGCGGGGCAGCTGGGAGCCGGGCGGGCGTACCTGGCCTGCTGGGCCACCGGCGAATCCTTTACGCTGGTCAGGGCTTTATGGGCGTGCTGCACATAGTCCTGCATGAGTTCCATGAGGGAGGCCTCGTCCGGCTCCTGTGCTCCTGCGAGGACAGCGGCCAAGGTGGTGGATCAGCACTGGGAGCCCTGCCTCCTGCCCAGGCACCCATCAGCCCCCAGATCACCAAGCCACCTCCCAAGGGTCCTCTGGCAGAAACCCCCCCCCCCC